TTTGTTTACTTTAGATTGCAGGCAACCCATTTTTTCCGTCATCATCAGATGAATTAATGAAAAAGAAAGATACCCAGGATCACAATTCAGACAACTCTCCCACAGAATTGAAAGTTCCTGGTAAAATTGTTTCCTTTCCTCCTTTATATTTTTAACGGTCGCAAGTATTAGCTTGACTTTCCCCTCATTTTTCATCTCCCAAGGTTTTGATGAGCCTGATGATACGGAGACTAAGAAAGACCTTAAAAGAGGAACGAACAGAAGTAAGTTTCATTTTGTCTTCCTGTGCAATCAAATCCCCAAATCTCACTCTCAACCCCCTGTAGAGTGCAAAAGCAACTGGTTCATATCAGTTGCTTTATATCTAGGCTTGCTTAGATAATTGCTTCAAAGTTAGGCCTTGGCACTTTTGAGGCATAATTAATATTCCAATATAATTTTTATCAGAATGCTTTCCCCTCCCCCTTCATCAAAATGTTATTACACACCAAATAGTTGGTGCACATAAGCAAGATATTTATCTTGCTGAAGAACTAGTGGAAGAACAGCTTATTTCATGTCCATCTGCGTTATAGTTCTAGAAACAAATTATTTCCGCTGGACAAGCTCCTTGGTAGATTCTACTTGTAGTAAGGTTGTTCTAGTTTGGGAACCCTATGACTGGATTCTAGACTTGGTTTAACAGAAGAGTTGCTGAGTTGACTTATCCTGTGATGTTCAAACCAATAATATTATGGCTTCATATGATAGTCTCGGTCATGGAACATGATTGGTCATGGAAGACAAAACCGGTGACCAACCCAAATTGGATCCATGGAACATGATGAATGCAAGTGATCCAATAGCATGGCTGGCTGGGGAATGCTGGGAGTTGAAGTCCATGTAGTTGGGAAACATTGAACTAGATGCAGCTCCTCCACCATTTTCTGGAACTGTAAGACCGAGATGCTATGAAGCAATGAACATGCTCTAGTAGGCTAGAAACCAATCCTCTTTAAAGATGTGGAGTGGATTTACTCCGCTAGTTGTGGTTGACTATAGGCTCATTTCCGTTTCAAGGCCATTGACCCTGGGCTGTCTGAAGACATTTTCAGGGTCATGTGGCCAGCGTGATGTCACAGAGTGCTGTTACTTTCCCACCAAAGTGATACCTGTTTATCTACTCACATTTGCATGCTTTTGAACTGCTAGGTTGGCAGAAGCTGAGCTGAGGACAGGAGCTCACCCCATCTGTGGCGCTTGGGTCTCAAACCCAGGCTGCCAGCTTTGGGGATGACAAGCCCAGAGTCTTAACCACTGAGCCACCACGCTGCCCTAAGTCTTATCATGTTCCCTCAAATATGTTAAAGGAAAAGGCATGCCAGAAGATGCTTTTCCCAACTGAATGGAAGTTCTGGAAATGCCACATTAAAAAAAAAACAACAAATTGAAAATTAAGTAAAAGACCACAGAGAGAGAGAGGCCTGGTGAATTCTGTGCCTAAAAAGTTCCGAAGAGGAAATGGGAAAAAGAAAAAGAAAAAAAGCTCAAACTCCAAGCTAAATCAGACCCTTGGGGCAATTTTCCTTCTGACCTGCCTCTGCTTTGTTCACAATCAAAAGAGGAGAATACAAAAAAAAATCAATTGGGTTTTGCATCCCAGCTGCCGGCAGTATTGATCACTTCGGGTAAATCAATCTCCTCTCCAGTTGCATTCATGTCATGGGCTTCCACTCAGTCAACAGCCATTAGAGAAACAAAAGGAGCATTTTCCATATGGCTTCATCCAGGAGGAATGGCGGGGGGGGGGGGGGGGGGGGGGAGGGGGGAGCATTTGTGAAGGCCCTCGCGAAGCTGCAAATGTTCATTTGAGTAGCTAGGCTCAATCGACATCCAATTTTGCTTCAAACGCATGAGAATTATCATCCTTGGGTAAGGTGGCGGTGCGAATAAATGCTTGGTGATTTCTGCCACAGCTCCTGAAGGCCAGCTGATTCAAAAAGAGGAGAAGGCAGAAGGTCGGATCAAATGGGAAATCTACCATGCTTATATCAAGGCATCTGGAGGTATATGCCGTAACCGGTTGCGCAATTTCTGAAATGCATTTGTTCATGGTAAATTTCTGCAAAACTCCTATCTGTGGACATGCAAACGCACCTGTATAATATATAATACCTGGGCAGGATGGCGTAATGTGTCAAAGAGATGTGGTGGGAATTTAAATTGACTTGGAAAAAGATCTATCTCCCAAATAGATTTAGGGCTGATTGAGAAGCCTTGATAGCTTTGTTTTGGTGTCAAGTATTTATTAATACCCCGCAACTATCTGAGCATTTTGCTTTTTCTTTTGTTCCCTTGCAAAAGAGGCCTCTTACTTTATATATTATAAAACAGATATAGAGACTCTGGACAAAGTGCAGATGAGGAGGCTGGAGGCTAAAAAATGATCAGCAGCTGTCTTACTGCTTTGCCCAGGAGGCTTCCCTGAGGCCCAGGAGGCAAAAAATAAATGGAGCATGCGGGGTGTGTGTGTGTGTGCTGCTGCTGCACAAAAACCTAAAAATAAGCCATGCCCATCCAGTCACCTGGCCACTCCCACCTAGCCACTCCCACAGAACCTGTAGTAAAAATATTTGCATCCCACCCCTACTTAATATCCTCAGGAGGCAGCCTGGTGTGACATCCCATGTCCACGTTCCCTCCTAGGTTTCCTTTTGTGGTTTGTCATCATTCTTCTCTTTGTTCTGATGATTGGCAGCTCAGCCTTTAGCAACTGGTGGTTGAGTTTCTGGTTAAACCAAGGATCTGGGGTAAGTAAGTGCCATTTGGCACCAAGATATCATTCGTTTATGTCAGGGGTGTCTCACCTGGGTAACTTTAAGACTTGTAAAACTTCATAAAACTTCAAAAACTTCAGTAAAACTTCATAAAGTTTTATTTTGAACACATTCCCTTTCCACAAACTTTCCTCTGCCTCTACTTCCTAAATTCCCACCAGATTATGTCCTCCTCTACACGCGAAGCCAGGGCTGGCCGAAAAAGTAAAGCAAAACTTCATAAAGTTTTATTTTGAAAACATTTCCTTTCCACAAACTTTCCTCTGCCTCTACGTGTTGTTGTTTTTTTGACCCAGAGGCAAGGGCACAGCCAAGAAGAGACAATAGTGCAACTTTTAAAATCAAGTTTCCCCCACTCTCCCTCTCCCTGCCCCCTCTCTCCCCCCAAGGTTAATGTCAGTTTTCTAATACATGGCATTTTCCCAAACATTACTGACGTTCATTAATTACATTTCCAAACCCAAGGGCAACCTTTCCAGCACATTGAAGGATTACTGCTTGGTCCCCCGAAAGGTTTGCCTACTGACTGATAAGAGAAAATGGGTTATTTGTGGCACACAACTTGCTGTCTACCAACTTCAGGAAGAAGGAAAGGGAAGACATGATTGTGTTCTACTGGTAGTCCTCAACTTACAGCCATCTGTTTAGCAAGCGTTCGCACTCACAATGGCACTGAAAGCAGCTACAACTGGGTCCTTGCACTTATGACGATTGCAGCATCCCTTGATCCCATGACCAAAATTTTGGCACTTGGCAACTGGCATGTATTTACAATGGTTACAGCATGCCAAGGTCATGTGATCATCTTTGCAACATTCCTAGCAGGCTTTGGACAATAGAAGTCAAGGCGGGAAGCCAGTTTTCTTATTTATTTACACACACACACACACACACACACACACACACACACACACACA